AGCTCTTCTACAAGCTGCCAAAGCCAAAAAATCCTGAAATTCCTTTCCGATTTCTATCCCTGTGATCTCACCAACGGTCTTATTAAAATGATACTGTGGATTTGTTGTGGCTATTCAGTCCTCTTTACTGTGAAATCAAGATAGAGAGTGTTGTGTTGTACCCAGCTCAGGGCCTCAAGTCGACCCATACAATACCTGTTGAAATGTATGGAATTACAGCCGAGTTAAGCAAAGCAGTGAAAGCAAATTAGTGATAAGTGTTTCTTACGGTAATATAGTGATCTATGGGCTTCACCCTCAGCTCATATCTCATGAATGTTTATGTAACAGAGACATCAGGAACCTGCTTTAATGGGACTCGTGATTAATACAGGCAGTGTGATGGAAGATTTCAACAGGAGGGGCCGAATACTTCAACCATCGTGCCTGAGTGGTGTTCTTCATATTTAGATGGTGACTTGCATACTGGATGAGTGAGTCCAGTTAGCTCCTGTAGATGGTGACTTGCATACTGGATGAGTCCAGTTAGCTCCTTGCTCTCACGGAGGAGGACAGGAACGTGCTCTTGCTGCTCTGCTCTAGCTGCTCAGAGGGTACCATGAATTTGGAGGGCCCCTTCGTAGGACTGCAGCCATGCAGGACGACAGGCAGCAACGGCTTTCACAGGGGTCACAAATACGGGCTGCTGAGGCTTTATTAAGGCATATCGGACTGCTTGACTAGCCAGTCATTGGAATAGATCAGTTGACTTCAGTTTATTAACATGAAGAATGTTGCCCATACAGTGGTTTGCCCTGTTGACCTAACCTGTCGAGTCAGCAGGCGTGTGTCTTGTGCTTCTTTCCATGGGCACTCGCACAGGCACTCAGGAAGCAGCTCTGGATGGTCTTGTGTCTTTCCCTCACGTTGCTCTCGTCTGGTAAAGGAGCAGGAGCACCTGGATCCTTCCCTGCAGGGTTGCTTTCCAGCTGGTGCATCCCCCCAGTCTGACCCGGGCCATGGCGTCTCTCCTCCCCATGTGTGGGGCTCTGTGCTTCCCTTCGTTGAACTTCAGGTTGTTTTTCTTTGTCCATTTCTTGAGCTCCGTGGGGTCCCTCTGCTGTGTCCCAGCCACCTACTATTGGTTTCCCACTAAAAGGTCCCTTTTTACAAGCTCCACGCAGATGTAAAAGAAGTGCAGCCCACTTTCTATCAGATACAAACCTTAATCTTCAGATTTCAGAAGACAGAGAAGATTCCCCTTCCCCTATGTTTTGTTATGTTATTCAGTTCAGGTTTTAAAAAAATGCCCTGTTTTGATTTGGGGGTTATCTGGCTTTCATTTTTCATGCTTCTTTCAGCTCTTCTAGAGCACTTGAGTCTTCTCCAGACATTGTGCTGTGGTGCATCTCGGGTACTGCAGTCATTTCATTTTTGTCTAACTGGAATCCGTAAAAATCACAGAAGTTAGTGTGAAGTGGTTTCATCAACTTTGAAGTAATGGTTTGTCTCCTTCTGTTTTTCCATTTCTCTTAATTCAAAGTGGGGGAAAAGCATCCTTTTGTGGGATCATAAGGGGTCATAATGATTCTGGGAGTAGCCAGATGTGGAATACTCTGTAATTACCAGCTTTCCAAACTGTAGATTTAATGATGAGCTAAGTTTGAATTTATCCATGTACCTGTCTCGAATATGCTGTGCTCTCCCATGGGAATCCTATCCCTGTTTGGGCGGGAGGGCCGGAGAGGAGGAACGGCTCCGTTTCCAGGACCCGTGCGCAGCTTTGGTCTGTGCAGCAGTGCAGGTTACCAGGTGCCCAAGGGGGACAGCGGCGGTGGGGAAGGAGGAGGGACCCGCGGCTGGTTGAGAAGGGGGTTTGGACGTGGGCAGCCTGGGGTGGCCGCTCGGATTCGTGGTGGCACGAGCTTCAGAGAAGACCCTGGCGCGTGCAGTGAGCATCCCTGCGTGCTGCAGTGTGAACGGGCCTCGGAAATCCCGTGTTGACCTGCTGCCTCCTGATAGTGGATTAACAGCTTCTTTTCCGTTCTGACCTTGCTGTTTTTGTGGGCCTTGCTGACCTCGAGGCTGCAGCAGGGCAGCCTGTTTTGAAGCAAACCAGGCACGTCCGCTTGCCGCTGCAGGCAGCAAAGACAGCAGCTCTTGGCAGCTGCCCGCAGGTGCGGACCGGAGGGGCTAGAGCTGCCTCCCTGCTCGGCAGCCTCAGTTCTCTGCGCGCATCTCACAGCCCTCGTGTTGCTCAGCTCTCCTAACAGTTCGCCAGTGTTCTCAAGGATCAGCAGGATGAGGCAGAAGGGCTATCTCGGGGTATACCTTAGGGGCAGGATGCAGCTGTCAGAAATGCATCACACTTTAAAATGTCTTTAGCGGGATAAAAATCCACAGGACTTCTGTTGCCTTGCATCTTCCATAAAGTTAGTGTGCTCCTTGCTAGCTCATATGATAGAGCACCAGCAATGGAAGCAACTATCTCCTTGCTTCCAATAGCTAGTGGTTAGTTATTTTTAGTGTTTAGATCATAAAGTTAGTGTGCTCCTTGCTAGCTAATAATAGAGCACCAGCAATGGAAGCAACTGTCTCCTTGCTTCCAGTAGCTAGTGGTTAGTTATTTTTAGTCTTTAAAAAAAACATCCATAAAACTTGTTATTCCTACACTGAAACTTCGGTAAATCAACATGCAAAAGGAATTTATAAGAACAATGATAAAGGGAAGATTTTAGTGGAGAAGAAAACTTGGTATTGCAGCTTTCGAAATACCACCTTATTAAAAATATTAAAATTGAGGTTGATGTTCCATCTTTTTAAACATTTTATGAATCTTTTTACTAAATTTAAGAATTCTAAAAGGTGCTAATATTTTCTGTTCAAATATTGATATCTCAGTATTTGGAAATAGCATAGTAAAATTGCATATTGAATCCTCTAGAAAAGTATTAGTTTCTATTTGAAATTAAATGTGTGCAAGGGATATGCTTCAGAAAGCACATATTTCTTTTTAGAGTACCTTTTTCTGTATTGAGTAGTTTTATATTTTTATTTGCTGTGATTAGACAGATCTTTAACCCATTACAGTGACTCAAAGACGAATATGCACAGTAAGATGCATCAACTTTGCAGTTGATGAGTAGTTCATAAGTTGATCAGCAATTCATCTGTGGAAAAATCTGCAATATATAGTGCAAAGGGAGAGATACCGTCATGCTTGGTACTGGGATAACTTTAATTTTTAAAATGTAAACATTTTACTTATCTGTTGGAATCTTTGTTTCCTTGGTAGCTCATGGAGAGAATGGCCGTTATTCCCTACTAGTTACAGCTTTCAATATCTTGCAGTTTGGGTGGCTGCAAGGTATTTCTGGATTGCCGCTCCGCTCTTTTATGATCTTGGCCTAGGGAAGTTTTCTCCTCCTGTTTGCCATGTCTTCCTTGACTTGTTTGCTTGAACTGCAGTGTGCTCTGGAGAAGAGGTTCCTGTTGTTACATATAAGCTTATTGCTCCATACAAGAGTGCCCTGGTCCTGTCTGCATCTGCAAATAAACTCTGTGGTGGTTTTAAAAATAAACTTGTGTTAATACTTGCAGATCTGGAACTATTGGAAGAGCATGAAAAAAGTTGAATTAACCCCTGTTCAGCAGATGACCAGCATAACTGTTGGACAACATGTTAATATTTGGATTATGCCATCAGTGAATTCACTGGGCAAATTATTCCTTTCCTCTAGACAACATGTAATAAAATCTAAGTAACTTTGGGTCTTCTCCCATTTCTGTCATTTTGTTTGGGTCACCTGCCGCTTTCTGTCTAGACTTTCTATCATAAAAACATTTAGTGTTCCTTTCTGCAGCGAGGTCCCTGCCATTGCAGTGAGTGCGGTGACGGTGTTCTGCAGGCAGGGCCACGCGGTCTGTGCAGCGCAGACAAAGCCCATACCACGCTCTGCACATCCAGGAGCTTAATCTTAGCAGGATCAGCAAGGGAGGTGATGGACGCATGTTTGGTTGCTTTGCTAAACATTTAAATAGCGTGTTAATGCTTATGGGACAGGCCAGAGTGTTGTAGAAGTGTTCCTGGAACAGTTCTTGTTTTCAAAAATGCTTCTGGGGCTTCCCCATGACAATCGTTGAGAATCCCGCAAATGGGCTGCAGAGGTGAAGGACCTGAGTTACTTGTGTGACAAAGTGAATCAAGTGACAAGACTAACCATAGCTGGAAACACACCTCTCTCTCTCTTTTTTTTTTTAAAATACAACAACGGAAGATAATTTTAATGAAATTCCAGCTGATCTCATTGTTGTTTTTAAAGGTATATCCTTAAAATATTCTGTTGTAAGAGATGTTTAGTTTATTCATCCTCAAAGGATTAAGGCTGTAGAAAGTCTTAGTAAAAGAATTTTTACATGGTTGGTGTGTAAAAATGCAAATGCTGATAAGGCACAGCTGCTTTATTGTACTTCCAGAGAAGCTGCAAAAAGATGAGATTTATATGCCTACACTTACTCATCAGGTGTAACTTGTTTCATTTGTAGATTTACGATGTGAACAGAAGAGGTGACTCTTAATTCTGACTGCTTCTCCCTCCTTCTCCCTCATTCCTGATTCTGCCGTGAGCCGCTGTGACGCAGGGTGTTCTGGATCTCATCACTTTTTTTTTCTTTTTTTTCTTTTTTTTTCCCCTCTGTAAAAAACAAATGAGGTTTTGATTGGTTTTTCATGATATCTGTCACTCTAAAATATGTAATTTCCTTGGAAGCAGTGAGGTTTGGAAGTTTCTTGGAAGCAATGCGTAGACACAGGCAACTGGGTGATGCAAGTAAGGTGATTAGCCCGAGCTGCTCCTGTCATTGCCTGCTCTTTCTCCTTGGTTGTTGAAAATACGCATATTTCTTTGTTTTCCTTTTTTGTTGTTGTTGACATGCTACTTCAAGTAAGCTTTTTGTAAGTCACATTCTGCATTTCACACTTCTTCCCTCACTCTTAAATGCCTCTCACAATCTCTTTGCAGCTGGGTCTCGAGCATCTTACAGCAGCCAGCACAGCCACCTCGGCTCCGAGTTAAGGGCCCTGCAATCTCCAGAGCACCACATAGATCCTATTTACGAAGACAGAGTTTATCAGAAGCCCCCTATGAGGAGTCTCAGCCAGAGCCAGGGGGACCCTCTGCAACCAGCACACACAGGCACATACCGCACTAGTACAGGTAGGTGGGTGTAACTTGCATGACTGTCTTTGTGAGCTCTATTTTGTTCTTTAGTGCTGATTCTTCTCCTCTTTTTGATGTGCTAAACAAAATGTATTATGTGCGTGCCAGTCAAACAAGATACCTCTTGCAGCTATCAAGAGAACCTAAAAAGCATACATGAAATGTAGGGATACCTAATGTTGTGTTGTATATACACTGTGGGCTAAGCTGATTTGGTAAGGGGACTTACTTTTAAGGAGAAAGAATATTTTTTGCTCCTCTTGTGTATTACTTACAAGAAAAATCTTTCTGTTCTGGAAAACTTATATATATTTTTTTTTTAACTCACAAGGAAACCATTTAGGTTGCAAAAGAACTTGCAAAAAGTTCCTTCCACATGAAGTTGAAGGCTTGTTCATGTATCTTGTAAAGTCGGTCGTAAGTACAGTAAATGTTCTGCTGTCAAGCAAAGGGCTGCTTAAGTATACAGATATAAAATGAAACTGAAGCATAGAAAAGAGTCGTTAGCACCACTGATTTATCCATAAAATAATGATTGCCCATGAAATGCATTGATGCACAAGTCCCACTTGCAGAATGTCCTCTCCACCAAATTAAATACAGCTGTTTGTTGTTGCCCACAAATAGTTCACAAATCAACAGGGGTATTTGTGGTATTTAATGCACAGAATAATTAGGGTCCATAAATGCCACAGATGAAATAGCTTAAAGCAGATGTAGAAAGAACTTGCCTTAGGAATTGTAAGTATTTCTGGTGTTTTATCACTGCGGCGTTGATCAAACAGTGATGATTCCATTCCCAAATCACTCCCATTTTCACCAACAGATTTGAAGGAAAACAACTGAACATTTTGGAAGAAGAATCCTTGCTTTCTTTTAAAAGTTCTTCAGAAGAAAAATCTCCAAGGGCAAAGCTGGCAGTTTTTGTGTCTCCTAAATTCTTGTTGTTCACTTGAAAATTTGGGTGTTTAGAGTGCAAGGGAAGATCCTTAAAAAGAAATTATTCACAGATCGTGAAGTCGGATACCTGTAACAGCTATGGAATTTTAAGGAATACCACATCTGTTACTTTACTGTATAAAAAGCCATGTATGTATGTTTGCACTGGGTTATATGCCTATATATATGTCAGAAGATGATACCTGTCAGGAAAGGGACAAAACTGAGCAGCAGAGGCAGTGATAGTGAATGAAGCAACTGTTTATACAGAACTTTAATCCTCATGTTCAACCTGTGGCCTTGTGCTTCCAATACCATCCATTTTTCCGCAGTTCTTACAAAACATCCCTCAGGTGTCTCAGCTGAAGTAGTAGGCTGACTTGCGACTGTTGTGCACTGTTATTTTCACAGCGCCCCCGTAAGCAAGGAAAACTTGTGAACATAGATAATTATAGTGAATGAAACTGGGGCGCAGGACATTTGCGTGTAGCACCTGGGGAAGGTTTTTCAGAGGAAGCTGCCTCTGCCACAGGTATCTGAAGGAACGTATTTCTTGAGATGGAGGAGACAATGCAGTTTCATTTTTCTCAAAATAGCAGAGTAGATAGGGGTCCAGATGAAGTTTGGCACATGGAACTCTTGGTTTCTTTGTTGGGTTGTCTGAGTGCTTTTTAATGTGGGACGGGGTAGGTGTTTTGATGCCTTCTGGAGGGTGTGAGGGATGCAGATTGCTGTGTGCTCAGTGAAGATCAGTGCCAGGGGTTCGTGTCTTGTTTGTCTGGTGTACATGTATCAGGGAGTGGAGGAGAGGGCACAGGGCTTCTTTAGTGTGCTCCCTTAGAGACCATAGTTCACATTCTGTTAGCTAAACCCTGTCTTTAGTTTTGAGAGCTTGTTTGTCAACCCTTGGTGAAATCTTAAGAATTTCCAGATATCTATTGTATACTTTTGTGCCCTGTTGCTAAAGTAAAAGCTAATATCACTCAAAGAAACTACTCAAGTATTTTATTGATATAGTTCAATGCACAAACATAGCTAAATGAGTCATAGGAGTACAGAAAGGCAAACTTGGTTTAAGGGCATATGTCTCTGACAAAGGCCAGATCTCTTTTTTCTCTGCAGCTGATGTTAACCGTTTGAAAGAAAAATTATGCTAGTTATACTTACCATTTTTTTAAATACCATCTTTTAAAAGACGAAGCACTTCCCAAATTTGAAAATTTTATTTAATCTGGAAGATGCTCAGATCGGAAATGCTTTTTCACTTCTAAAACACGCATCACTTCTTGCTTTTTTTGTTGTTTTTTGTTTGTTTTTGAGCTTCAAGGTTCCCATTACATTGAGGAATGTTTATACTACAGAGAAAAGCTCCCTTGGAGTTTTGTATCACCTTGGTGATTCAACATTCAGTGAGCAGAGTTTTCCTATCATTTTTTTTTTAACTTAATCACTAAATTGTTTGAACTTTTTTATTTTCCTCATATTTTACTAATGTATGAAATATATGACCATAGTAATGTCTATGGTAAGGGGGTACATATTAAAATAAGGTGTTTAAACACCTTGAATTTAAATTATAGCTGTATGTACTACTGTTATTCTGTCCAAGCTAAGAATAATCTTTCAAAGTTGACAGAAATAGCTGCAGAGGGATCTTTGGTTTGCGCTTTTTGACTTGTGATTTTTACACGTGCACCACTGGAATGTGGAAAGTGTTGTTAGAGATTGGACTAAGGATCCAGTCCTATCCAACTTAATTACTGACAATTGATGTTACACATGAAGCAAGTCCAAGCTGGTAGGATCTCGGTATTTTACAAGCCTGGGATTTCCAAAGCTTCCTTGGACAGAAAGCAGCTTCCTTCAAGTCCTGAGCTGCCGCTTCCGACCTCCAGCACAGGAACACAAGTGTGGCAGCAGCGGTACTTGTGAAATGAGTGGCTGTTGCTCTGAGGAGGCTGAGAGCACCATGTTTGCAAGTGTGTGATGACATTCCTGTCCCTCAGGGTGCCTTGATGAAAGAGAAGAGCACTTTTCTGTGAAGAGATGTTATTTTGGTATTTTAAACTCTCCCCAAAGTGGACCTGTGACTTCATCACTGGGAAAAAAAACAAGAGCTGCTGCTTTAAAACTGAGGCAGGTACTGGAGAACTGTGCACATAGACCTCAGGGCCCACAGTGTCCACCTGCTTTGGAGAAGGCTCATGTGCGAGGCCCAGCACAGACGCTCTCGGCCGCTGGGACACAAGGGGCACAGAAGAAGCAGCCATGGAGCCGCCTCCGAATTGCGCCGTGTCGCTTCCGAGCCGCCTTCTGATGGAGGCCGCGGCACTGGGTGCGGGGAGGCAGCGCCGTGGTTGCCATGGCGAGATAAGAGGCCTCCTCCCCCCGCTCCGGCTGCCGAGAGGGTTACGGCCCCGGAGCAGTCGCCATGGAAAAGAAGTCCTTGCTGGAGGAGCTGGAGTGCTCGGAGCTGACCTCCCGCGCAGAGCGACGGGCACGGGAGGGCAACGCAGCAGGGAACGGCCTTTCTAGCCTGTTGCTGCCGCCCGTAGTTTCTGTTCAAGTGCTCACAAGTGGCAGGAAATATTGCGCATTTTTTACTCTCCTGTGAGGCAGTAGAGAGCGAGCCTCTGAAAGCGAGGAATACTAGTATCTGTCTGGAGAGATGCAGTCCTCCTCTTCAGCACCTTCCTTCCTTCCCTCCCTGCTGCATCATTCGCTGACCAACTCAGAGGAACCTAAACCCAGGAATGGCCCCTGTCGAGCACTGCTCTTGGTTATTGCTAGCATGGTTTTCCTCGTGTCAATGCATCTCTTGGGTTCTGAAGGGTAGGCACAGTGTTACCCTCACAGTACCTGTATCCAAATAAAGTACGACTTAGTACAAAAAAATAAAGCACAGCTGAGCTCTACAGACTTGTTCCTTTCTGGGGATGAGTGCTGGGGTGGGATTAGACCTGGCACTGGAGGCGAGAGGAGAGGATCAGGGCTGTCGTGCCTGTGCTTGCCGCCTCGCACCTGCAGCCCTTGGCCCTGACTGCTGCTGTCCCTGAGGTTAGGCAAGGTCTGAGGGGAAGATTTACCAGCAAAACTGCTGTTTCTGTTCTTGTCACTGAGTTACAGGTTTTCTCACGACGTGGCTTGGGTGTTTCTCGATCCTGGCACCACAGATGCCTCTTAAAACAGAACAAGGTGCTAGGATCAAGTCCCCGGGTGGGAGCTGAAGAAAGGGCAGGAGAGGGGAAGCTCCTTGATCTTTTGTTGCCACCCCAGACAGAGACAGGCCTTACGAAATCAATTGTACTGCTCTTTTTGTTATGGGTCTGGGGGCATGCCCATGGCTGTGACCCTCCTCTCCCTCCCCTGCTTGCGTTGCTCAAGTGAAGCGGGGCAGGGCGCTCGCTCTTGCTCCTGCTGCCGAAGCACGGGGCACCCGCACATGCTCTGTTGGCAGTGCCGCCTTCCCAGGCTGTGCAGGCCAGCGGGGTCCCCTCTCCTCACGAAACAGAGCCGCGCTCCCAGCGCAGTTAAACCTTCTCTACTCCTGACCTGACAGTGCAGCGGAGTTGGTGAATAAGTAAGCATGCTATAATGTAATCCCGCAGCATTGCAAATTGACAGTGTTTTTCTGTTTCTAGGGATAAACTATTGTTTTAACCATTTCAATTTAATCTTAATGCATGTTAGTAACAGTATCCAAATTATAACTAAGATAGAGGAGAGTTTTTAAACATTTCTTTGAGAGATACGTTTTCATAGTCATTTGCAGTACCTTGTAGCAAGTAGCCCCTTGGCACGGTGTTGTTTTTAACCATTTAAAACCAATTAGATGATTGTCTAAGACCTAAATGTGTTGAAAAAATGTTAGAAAATCAACACAGAATTCAAATGTTAAACTGGAATTATGTAAAAATGACCATGTGGGATACCAACTTGATCATCTTGATGAATTCCATATAGTGAACCTGTTTAACTGCAGGTATTTCCACAGCTGAAATGACAGCAAATGTAATTAACTACAGATCTTAGACAAAACTCAGAATTTCAATCTTGCC